GTTTCACATAAACAATCTTAACAAGTAAAATACATACATACTCATATTCAACATACAAGAACATGTGTGCCTACATCACCATGCACACAACAACTGATGACATCAGATACTAATTATGTGTAGTTTGACTATATTAGGCTTTAGTGCATGACTCTGTCTCCCCTTGTCTCCCCTTTCCTTCTCTCCCCTTAGTCTCCCTTCCCTCCTTAAAAGGTAGCAAGCAGTAACATACATCACATGTACACACGAAAAAACAGACAAAATATACAACAATGCATATCACTAATTAATCAAGGAGGAGACATATCTAAACCCTAAAACAACATTTCTCCCTCTGCCACACAAAATTACCAAGTAGGAGGAATTCAGTGGTATGCAAAATATCACCAATATATAACACATACTGTATAATGCTGGAATACTGTACGTACATGTACATACATGCCTTTTATAAGATGTAGAAGTGTGTGTGTATGTGCTTTGTAGAATTATGTATAATAATGTGCATGTATGTACGTGTGAATTGAATTAAAAATACATACCATTTGTCGGGAAGCCGTTGGTAATTGGATCATTGTTGTTACCAGAGACTGTCCGGCCTCCATCATCAGCATCAGTATCTGAGAGAGAGAGAGAGGAGTATATTATTAATTATACATAATATTTACTTGGACAATATTTCATGTATTAATACTAGTCCAGCTGTATGAAATTTAAATATACTGTATAAACTAATAAACGAAATATACTGAGAGAAAAAATGTTATTAATTATTATTATTACTTTGATTAGTAATTCAATAAAACTTCGATGATTAATATACATCAAATCTCGTAATACCACACCCACACTAATTACTCCATCAATCACCTTATCCTAATAATAGTAACAATATTAATAATACATTAATTACATCAGTATTACATCATTTGTTTCTTTTAGTTTATTAATCAGTAGCCATGTACCAAACGTCTCTGGAGACTGAGACAGACTCATTGCTTGATGATCTATCGCTCGTCTCAAACCATCAGACCAACCTGTGATCACGTGATCAGTAAGTAGTGTCACGTGACTGTATACCTATGTGATATATCAGGAAGATTGGCTGCTTCTGATCCTAACTGATAGAGATATATAAAGAGATAGTGTTTGGATTATTTACTTCTTCTAATAGTCTCTCAAAGTCAATGTGCGTCTCCATTACACTCAGCATATCTTTTAAAATACTGTCCATCACAAAAGACATGTGACCACGTGTTTTAAACTTAGAATTTCAAATTTTCAATTCTTATCATGAAGTGCACCATATTAAAAGTAATACGGCATAAGCTTTTAGGTGGGGCTCAAGAACCAGGCTGGGGCTCAAATGTAAAGGTCAGGGAAATCAACTTACCTTTTAGAGAAAAAGAAGGTATATATTATGTATTTAATACTTCATAGGTCACTGCATTTATTACAGTTATTGTTGTCTGATTTGCTGCAGTCTGCTCTGGTGTCTTATAAAAGAGGAAGAAGACAAGAGGTATCTGACAGAATAGACTAGCCTGGCCACTCAGACCCAACCCTGGGTGGTCAGACTAAGAATAGACATGGTTTGAAAGTGGCCATTTTGATTAGCAACTTAATATAAGAGATTTTAAATTCATTGCTTGTCATTCTGTGTCTGGTTTTAAATTATTAATTACTGTTGATAATGTGCATTAATTAATGCTTAAAGTCAGGAAAGGAGAAACTTTGAATTTAAATGGAGTGACCTAAGGAAGTCATGTTCTTTGTTTTTCTATTCTAATTAAATTTTCTTAAATGACTTATGGTTATCCAGTGCTACAGTCTGCTGATAGGATCTAAA